CTCTCATGAAAGATACGAGTTTGCTCAGGGGTTAAGTCATCTCTCTCTCACACATGTTTGTTTGTTTGTATGAATATATTGTTGTTTGTACGTATTTGTGTAAAAATTTCACCATACCTGTATATGAATGTTTGTGTCCTGTGTTGATGTTGTGTTGCTTACCTATCCACATATTTCCACTCGCCGTGTGTGTGTGTGTGTGTGTGTGTGTGTGTGTGTGTGTGTACGTCTGCTCACCAGGAAGTGTTTGTGTGGTGTCATCACTGTGTGTGTACAGTATTGTATATGGAAACTATTTCAGTGTTGTTATAATTACTAGTTATCAATGTTAGTGTTTCCCTCAGCTGTGAACTATTGTTGTTGTGTCTGTGTGGGGTGGTCACTTCTCGCCCGTGTGGGGTGGTCACTTCTCACAAAACTATAAGAATACCGACGATTAAAACCGTTATTAGTATGGCAGTAGTTTATTAACACTATATACAGTTTCAAATTGCTTCAAATAATTCAGTAGTTATTTGTAAACCATTTCAAATTATGGAATGGGTCAATATTTTTAAACTCATTTAGATTCTTCGTTGTTATGATGATCCAATTAGTTTTTCTCGTTTTCAAACTGATTTAAAATAGTCATTGATTTAGTTTCTAAATTGACCCAAATTATTTTTTTATATCAGTGATCAATTTCTCTCTCTCATGCACTCACACAGCAAGAAATATACAGCACCAAAATCCAACGAAAAAACGATCAATTCGGGAAAATTCTGGAGAAGTGGCCATCAACACCAAAAGACGAGGTTTCACAAAAAAAAAAATTATTGAAAAAAAAGAGAAAACCTTTATATGTGGGGAAGAGGTTTGACCCCCTAGGTGAGTGTCAGGTTCTCTTAGGTTCTAGAGATTTAAGGTGGACAAGGTGAGAGGTGTTCTGGTGAAGGGAACGAAGGGATACTGCACGTCATCCTATGTACACCTCCTCCCCTCATAGCTTCCCTTCCTTCCTTACCTATTCCTTGCCTTTTTCCCCTTATCATTCATCTACCACCCATTAAGGGACCCTTCGTGATGATGATGATAATGATGATAAATGATGATGATGATGATGAAAGCCGATTGACACAAACACTCAACATCGGCAATAACATGGATTGAAAGGTATCAACGTAGTTCCTAAGGTTAAGGGTTCAGGTGAAAGGTAATTAATTAGGTCAGAGGTTGAGGAGAAAGGTAATTAATTAGGCCTAGGGGTGGGAAGAAAAAGGTAATTAATAAGGTCAGGGGTTGAGGAGAAAGGTAATTAATTAGGTCAGGCATTGAGGAGAAAGGTAATTAATAAGGTCAGAGGTTGAGGAGAAAGGTAATTAATAAGGTCAGAGGTTGAGGAGAAAGGTAATTAATTAGGTCAGGGGTGGAAGAAAAAGGTAATTAATAAGGTCAGGGGTTGAGGAGAAAGGTAATTAATTAAGTCAGGGGTTGAAAAGGTAATTAATTAGGTTAGGGGTTGAAGAGAAGGGTAATTAATTAGGTCAGGGGTTCAGGAGAAAGGTAATTAAATAGGTCAGGGGTTCAGGAGAAAGGTAATTAATTAAGTCAGGGGTTGAAAAGGTACTTAATAAGGTCAGGGGTTGAGGAGAAAGGTAATTAATTAGGTCAGGGGTTTAGGAGAAAGGTAATTAATTAGGTCAGGGGTTGAAAATGTACTTAATAAGGTCAGGGACTCACTATAGGAATAATTATTAATAACAGGAGCTCTGGAAATAAATGTAATTAACAGAATATCAAAGGCTTTAGCTACAAGTTACCTTTTTTTACTTATCAAACGATTGGGAATTTTAATATAATTTCCAAGATTCAATTTATTAGGTGTTCAGATTAAAGGTAATTTTTATTCGATAATATAATCAAGAGTTCCCATCAGATGGCCCCGGGTTCCAGGGTTTTAGCGGAAGGTAATTTTTTAATTTGTTTTCATAACTATAAAAAGATAATTATTTTTTTAAGTAAGATATATTTTGTGTTATTATTATTATTATTTATCACAGCCTTAATTGAAAGGTAATTTTTTGCTTTAGGTGATAGATAAATTTAATTGATTTAAGGAAAAGGTAATTGTGTAAAGTGAAAGATGAACCACATTTGAAGTTTTAATGATTACATTTTACCTATGCTTCGGTTTTAAGAGATTCAAATGAAAGGTAATTTATTTTAAAGTCATTTGGGCTTGAGTAGAGGAATATGACCATAAAAAGTGTAATTTTATACACAGGGGTTCAAATAAAGGTAACTACAAAGTCTTTAAAGTGCAAGTAAAGGATGATTTTAAGAGGTTCAGATTTAGGGTTCAGATTTAAGGGGTTTAGATCTAAGGGGTTTAGATTTAAGGGGTTTAGATTTAAGGGGTTCAGATTTAAGGGGCTCAGATTTAAGGGTTCAGATTTAAGGGTTCAGATTTAAGGGGTTCAGGTTTGGGGTTCAGATTTAAAGGGATTATTTTTATTATTTTCATTTTTTTTATTATTATTATTATTATATCATTTTTTATTGAACTTTCATAATTTTTTTTTTACTCGTGTGAAGGGATTAGAGGAGGAAGAGGGAGGAGGGTGGGGAAGAAGGGGTAGGGGGACACTAGAAGAATAATGGGTTGTTTCAGAATAGGGGGATGGGGAGGGACTAGGGAAAGCGATTATGACATTAAGGATAGGGGAGGAGGTTGTGGGGAGGGGGTTGTGGGGGATGGGGAGGGAGGAGGAGGTTGGGGGATGGGGAGGGAGTGGGGAGGAGGTTGTGGGGAGCAGGTGGGGATGGGGAGGGGTAGGAAGGGGGAAGTGTTAGGTTTGAGGTGTTTTGGGGATTGTGGGTTGTAAGATTGGGGGAGAGGGGAGTTTAGATGGGGAGTTTATATAGTTGGGGAGACGAGAAGAGATAATGGGGAGAACCGGAAGATGTTTGTGGTGTTTGTGAGACTCGAGTGTGTTTGTTAGGCTCCTTACTACTGCTTCCGGGACACACACACACACATACATACTCACAAAAGAACTCTCTCTCTCTCTCTCTCTCTCTCTCTCTCTCTCTCTCTCTCTCTCCTAGACGTGAACACTACCCGTCACCTTAATACCTCATTAACCTGTAAATATAACACCTCCACCTGCATCACGTCACCTACAAAATACAGTAAGAAAAATCATCTGTCACCTTCACCTAGACATCAACACTCAAACAACCTGAAAACCACCACTTGTACCTAAACAACAACAATTACATCACTTAAACAACCAGAAAAAACTACCACCATCTACTGTACACCTAAACAACAACAATTACATCACTTAAACAACCAGAAAAAACTACCACCATCTACTATACACCTAACAACAACAATTACATCACTTAAACAACCAGAAAAAACTACCACCATCTACTGTACACCTAAACAACAACAATTACATCACTTAAACAACCAGAAAAAAACTACCACCATCTACTGTACACCTAAACAACAACAATTACATCACTTAAACAACCAGAAAAAACTACCACCATCTACTGTACACCTAAACAACAACAATTACATCACTTAAACAATCAGAAAAACTACCACCATCTACTGTACACCTAAACAACAACAATTACATCACTTAAACAACCAGAACAAAACTACCACCACCTTGATCTAAACAACAAATATTACACTAACAATCAACAACAAACTTACCACCAACTACCACCTAAACAATAACAATCCTAGGACATAAACAATCATGATAAAAACAATGATTATCTCAACTCGACAATAACATTCACGCAAAACAATCCAGCTTAAGCTATACTCACGACTTAATCTTGACCCTCAGAGTGATTTTACACTAACACAATGGCAATAGACAGTTTATATGACCCTTATTTAGTAGCAGGTTAAATTACCTACCTAGATACATTACACGTTTAGTTAACTACAATAGTCACATAACCCGTATCTATAACAGCTACCTTAAAACTAGTCAGTCAAGAATATCATCCCAATCACAAAAGAGGTCCTCTAACTGGTGAAATAAGAACGAGTTTTAATTGGCCCATTTAACCAAGAACGATGATTGGGTTGTCGAAAATTTCTTCATTCACACACAGACACAGATGACCGTAGCTAAAGGCGGCCATAAGGTCCATAATAATAGTGGGGGGAAAAAATTTAAATTACGAATCTTTGAGGATCTTGAGTCAAAGTCTCTCTCTGTTCCTACACTTCTTCACTAATTACCACCAGTTAGTTCATAGTCGTCTACATCACCGTTAATAGAATCATCTACAACATTACTGCGATACATTGAACCTATCTGTAGAAGTTCCTTGGTTACATACAGTACGTTCACTTGTCATTATATGCATACACTTACCCGTACATGAGATAATTTTTCATCACCTATATCACCTACTTCCCACTTGAGCAACACCTACATCACCTACTTCCCACTTGAGCAACACCTACATCACCTACTTCCCACTTGAGCAACATCTACATCACCTACTTCCCACTTGAGCAACACCTACATCACCTACTTCCCACTTGAGCAACACCTACATCACCTACTTCCCACTTGAGCAACATCTACATCACCTACTTCCCACTTGACCAACACCTACATCACCTACTTCCCACTTGAGCAACATCTACATCACCTACTTCCCACTTGAGCAACATCTACATCACCTACTTCCCACTTGAGCAACATCTACATCACCTACTTCCCACTTGAGCAACATCTACATCACCTACTTCCCACTTGAGCAACATCTACATCACCTACTTCCCACTTGAGCAACATCTACATCACCTACTTCCCACTTGAGCAACACCTACATCACCTACTTCCCACTTGAGCAACACCTACGAACTACTTCCCTCCTCCCCCTTCCCTCCCAAAAAAAAACAATAAGAAAGATGGAACCAAGTAATAGCCTAAACCAAAACAACTAACGACGTACCTTCTCTCTCCTCTTCTAAGGTCGAGAGGGCTGTGTGAGGGAGGGAGGACATCAAGCAAGGACGCGAGACGGCCTTCCTTCGTTCCCTTCTCCACCAAATATCTCCAACACCACCACCACCACCACCGTTACCAACCACCAACGTTACCACCAACCATCACTACCACCATCATCCCTCACGGCTGTGCGTGTGTTTGTGTCCACAGTCATTTAAACAAAACAAAAAAAGAACCTTAGATTGACGGATAGAATAATGGAAATGTCTACAAGATAATCTCTGCTGTTGACTCAGAACGTGTTGGAGTAGTGACAAGATTACTAATTATTTTTTGTAGAATTGTCGTCGTACATGAAGGGGATTTTATAACATAATAAATAAGAAGTTTTACATTGAAATTTGTGGACACTAAATATATATGTTAGATCTGTGAAGTGCAACACACACGAGGAAATAACAACCTCACATAACAGGCGAGGTACAGGTGTCGAGTGAACGAGCCCACAGGTGGAACAGTCCTTGAGAAGTGACCAGGATGGTGAGGACTAGTCGACAGTAAACACCACAAGTTCTCTTCCTCCCCCTGCGCTAAGGCCTTCTGCCGGGTCGTCGGGTTACGCATTTCCCAGTAAGCATCCAGGAGGTCCGGTGTGTGTGTGGGAGCTGGGCCCTTCACCTCTGCTCTTGTGCGCTACTCCTGGCTCCTCCTGCTCCCTCCCCACTCTCACCAGTCGCCTCTTGATCTCTGGCCGTAATCTGGAGGGTCCTCCACCCTCTTAACCGTAGGGCCCTCAACGTCGGCCCGCTCTCATTACTAAACAAAACCCGGGCAGGTCGAGCCAGCTCGGGTGCACCTCCAATAAAAGGAAAAGGAGAAGAGAACAGATTCTAATTGCGAGCTCCAGCCAGAGCCGAACAAGATAAGGCATGAGCGGGCCCGAGTGGCGGGAGTCAGCCGCGGCTGAGGCCACCACAACTAGCTGCTGAGTCCTCCTTAACACACCTCAAACATGGATCATCGCACGTCCAAGTAATTCACGCCGAACAAAGTGTGATATCTCGAATTTTACTCATTATATAATACTTCAAGACAGACATCAGCCAGCACAATGTCGCTGAAGGACACAGTGAGGAACTTCGTGGTGCCAGGGATCAACCTGAGCCTGCAGGAGGTATGGGACGCCCTCTACGACTGCATGAAAGAACCGAGGGTACAGAGAAAGATTGTCTTAGTGATTGTGAGCATAGCGCTGCTGCTAGATAATATGCTGTATATGGTCATTGTGCCCATCATTCCAGATTATCTGCGGAAAATTGGTTCGTGGACAACCCATAAGGAGGGAGGACACATGGTCAGAATTAACGAGAGCCACTTCATATCCAACGCGACAGGGAACTATTCCATCGTGTCACCCTTCAAGAGCAAACTTATAAACCAAGTGACTGTGTACGAGGGAGAGGACACAGCCATTGGGGTTCTCTTTGCCTCCAAGGCTCTCATACAGCTCATGATCAACCCCATCTCCGGTACAGTCATAGACAGGATCGGATACGACATTCCCATGACGTTTGGGCTTGTCATAATGTTCTTCTCCACCGCCATCTTCGCCTGTGGTCGCTCGTATGGCGTGTTGTTCTTCGCTAGGAGTCTACAAGGTGTTGGCTCGGCCTTCGCAGACACCTCTGGGCTGGCCATGATTGCCGACACCTACACTGAGGAATCGGAGCGTACAAAGGCACTCGGTATAGCTCTGGCCTTCATATCCTTCGGGTGTCTGGTGGCCCCGCCGTTTGGAGGGACGTTATATCAGTTGGCAGGAAAGGAGGTGCCCTTCTTAATTTTAGCGTTTGTATCATTATTCGACGCCTTGATGTTGCGGTTAGTAATGAGACCTATAAAAGACCAACAGAAAGAACAAGGCCACACACACGTTGCCGGAACTCCAATCTACAAACTCTTCATGGACCCCTACATCTTGTGCTGCGCAGGAGCCCTCATGATGTCCAATGTGTCCTTGGCTTTTCTCGAGCCCACCATCAGCCTGTGGATGATGGACAACATGCACGTGGAGGAGTGGCAGCTGGGGATGATTTGGCTTCCCGCCTTTTTCCCGCACGTTGCTGGCGTCGTTCTAACAGTGAAATTGTCCAGAAAGTATCCCAACTACCAGTGGTTGATGGCAGCTTGTGGACTGGCTCTAGAAGGCGTAAGTTGCTTCTTCTTGCCCTTCGCGAAGAACTACTGGGTCGTCATGATGCCCATCTGTACCATATGCTTTGGTATAGCTCTCATAGACACGGCGCTGCTCCCGACGCTCGGGTACCTGGTTGATACGCGTTACGTTAGCGTATATGGCTCTATCTACGCTATTGCAGACATCTCCTACTCCTTCGCCTACGCCTTCGGACCAATGATTGCCGGCAGCGTGGTCACCAGTATCGGCTTCGTGGCCCTGAACATAGGCATCGCCCTCTCCAACCTCCTGTACTGCCCCATCCTCTATTCTCTCCGACACGTCTATGACTACAAGCCTTTCGAGGATGAGAGCCAAGAGAAACTCAAGATGGGCGACCCTCCGACCGGAGAATTCCAAACGTTCACGATGCAGGAGGGGCAGCAGGTGCCCGGAAATGTTAAAAACCACTTGGAGTGCGCCAAGATCTCCAAGGGCGGCCAACAGGAGAACTACGGTACCTACGAGGCCATGGAGATGCAGGTAACAGACTACAACAACCAAGGGGCCAACGGCCATGTGGCAGGTGATAACAGGACAGTTAACCAACGCCACGTTGATAATAATCCCTTCAGGCAACAGCAGCAGCAAAACATACAACAGGGAGCAAGTTTTCACTATGACCAGTAACTGTTCCATTTAATGTATATAGTGGTGAATGTTATGCAGTAATCAATATGGACGTCATTCGTTATGAAGAAGAAAAAACTGTGTATTATTATTATTTTTTTCCTTCTCTGTTGTACATAGGAAGTATAGCTCCCCATCCTGACTTGTAAGTCCCCTTCCTGCACTCTCACGCCTGAAGGTTTAGTCACGTTGGTGTGTGTTTTGTATTAACTATTGTGTCATCAACGCAGTAGAAAATAAGCATCAAATAACAATGTCGCCTCCTTGTGATGAGGAACCTAACGGCGACATTGTCCAGGATTTGTTGTTGTGAGGTGGTCATATAGTTGGTATTAATATTATTGTGCACAGGATGATCTTCATCTTGTTATAAAAGACTATGTTGCATGACACCAAAAGATGCACATATTTTTTTTTCTTTTCTTTTTTTTTGGCCACTACAAGGTCAGTCTTTCAGGCCACACGCTGGATAGTTTCTTTCCTGTTTCTGATGTCAATACTAGTTGGTGTAGTTCTAGATGTATATAGTTAGGATCTATTAAAGAAAGTTGGGGAGGTCAGTACCCAAGGCTCTGCTATGGTTCACCTCGCGAGTGACTCAACACACGATACTACCACAAGGGCGAACAACCTAAACCCACTTCGGAATTTGCCTCGATGACCCACCAAACCCGCCAGTGGTGTTCGCTGAAGGTCAACACACCAACTGTTCTATACACAAACGATGGAATCTAGAACAGCATATAATAGATCTATTCAATATTCCCGTCACTTTTGAAATATATTAGAAAAGGATGAATAATTTTACCCATCTATTCGCCAGTGAATAAAAATAATGTAATAGTCTTAAATCGGCACAGAAGCAACTTGTGTTCATCCCTGCTGTACATCACAGTGTAGCAAACAAGGTTATATACGGCACGTTAGTATACAACAGCTGTTAAAGAAGCTTTGTATAAAACTCACGCGAAACAGTTCCTGATTTTCACACAGCGATGGTAATTAAAAACCCATCTTTATTATGACTTTTTTTTAACTTCAACATTCGGGAAACTGTGGCGAGATGTCTCCTGTAGTGTGTGTGTGGAGGAACCGTGGCGGGTGTTGGTGTACGAGGCTGTCCCCAACGTTAGCCCATCACGAGCCGTCTGCACGCAGTTCTTATCGTAGCCAATCTCACGAATCACTCTAGAATAGCGATCGTTTACTTCGTTTCACCATTCTAAAACCTAACTTAAGGCTTTTAGTAAGAGAGCAGCTATGTTTACTGAGGGGGCGTCATAAGCTAAGATTGGTTCTATGATTAAATGAAATTATTCTTTTTTAATACCTGAATTAGGATGATCTGTGATTGGAAATATTTTGAACGCCTGGAAGTTTTATGTTCCAGTGGGAGAGAAATTGTTTACTACTTGTGAAAGAGTGTAACCGTTACTTCGCTGCTCGGCCTTAGGTTTGGTGTTAGAATTGTGGCTTATCAGTTGTTGGGAACCTTGTGATATAATTCCCCCTTGTGGTTGACGCGGGGCCTTTAAGGAGTCAATCGGGTCAATCGGGTCAATCAGGTCATTAAAAAGAGTCCATTATGTTAAGAGTAATGCTTAAATATAAATAATACCAAACGTCCACGCCAGTCACCAGGACAGAGCCAGTCACCAGGACAGAGCCAGTCACCAGGACAGAGCCAGTCACCAGGACAGAGCCAGTCACCAGGACAGAGCCAGTCACCAGGACAGAGCCAGTCACCAGGACAGAGCCAGTCACATATTGTTACGTTTATTACTGGACGATGCAAGTGGCTGCCTGGGTAATCAAAGCACTATGTCCGAGTCTCACTATAATTTAAGAAAACAACAAATTCAAAGGTAATAATATAAGTCTTGTTAAAATATATCACACTTACAGTATTATTAAAGATGCCGCCATCACTTGACATACACTTATACACACACCTTAACACATCCTTAACACCTTAACACATCCTTAACACATCACAACACCTTAACACACCACAACACCTTAACACATCCTTAACACATCACAACACCTTAACACACCTTAACACATCACAACACCTTAACACACCTTACACACATCACAACACCTAACACACCTTAACATCACAACACCTTAACACACCACAACACCTTAACACACCTTAACACATCACAACATAACACACCAACACACATTAACACACCTTAACACACCACAACACCTTAACACATCCTTAACACACCACAACAACACCCATAACACACCACAACACCTTAACACCTTTTAACACACCAACACATCACAACACCTTAACACACCTAACACACCACAACTAACACATCATACACACCACAAACACCTTAACACATCACAACACCTTAACACACCTTAACACACCACAACACCTTACATCCTAACACACCTTCAACACACCCACACTCCAACACACCACAACACCTTAACACACCCAACACCACAACACCTTAACACACCTTAACACACCACAACACCTTAACAACACCTTAACACATCACAACACCTTAACACACCACAACACCTTAACACACCTTAACACACCTTACAACACCTTAACACACCACCAACACCTTAACACACCTTAACACACCTTAACACACCTTACACACACACACAACACCTTAACACACCACAACACCTTAACACACCTTAACACACCACAACACCTTAACACACAACACACTTAACACACCACAACACCTTAACACACCACAGCACCTTAACACATCCCACCAACACACCCAACACATCCAACACATCACACTTAACACACCTTAACACACCACAACACCTTAACACATCCTTAACACATCACAACACCTTAACACACCACAACACCTTAACAACACCTTAACACACCACAACACCTTAACACATCCTTAACACATCACAACACCTTAACACACCTTAACACACCACAACACCTTAACACATCCTTAACACACCACAACACCTTAACACACCACAACACCTTAACACATCCTTAACACACCACAACACCTTAACACATCCTTAACACATCACAACACCTTAACACATCCTTAACACATCACAACACCTTAACACATCACATTTGAAAGAAAATTTTTAAATCCTATATTTTTTGGTTCCTTCAAAGTGATCAGTTATGTATTTTATCATCAGTGTATTAAAATATACAATTAATATATATATTTAGTTATGTTATTTTTTTTACTACCACAACTACCACCATTAATATTACCTATTGTTACCACTACTACTATCACTACCACCATTAATACTACATACACTAAAACTACAACTATCACCACCACGACACTCAACTACCACTATTACCCCCCCCCCACCACAACAATAACCAACCTACCACTAGATAAGACAAAGGAACAACAACAACAACCACAACAACCACAACAACCAATACCACAATGTCCCCAACAGCTGATGGGAAAGTCATACAAGTCTTCTCGGAATGATAAAAAGTTAAACCAAATAAAACATTTCTTAGGCTAAAAATAAACCACAGACGTAAACCCCCATTGTTAAACCCTTGAGTACGAAACTACCCCCCTCCAACCCGAGTACAATGAATCAACCTAATGAGTACGATATCTTGAATCTCCTTGAGTACGACACCACCCCTCTTCCTCCATCCCAGGTACAACTCAATGAGTACGATATCATGAATTTCTTTAAGTATGATGATTTTGAACCCTTGAGTACGATGATTTAAACCCTTGAGTACAGTGACTCAACCCAATGAGTAAAATGTCCTAATATTCCTCATGTATAAGATGATTTAAACCTCTGAGTACGATGTTATTCTACTCAAGGGATTAAAGTCATTGTATTTATAATTTTAAGTCTATTATACTCAAGGGGTGAAGCTATCGGACTCACTGGAGGGTAACTCATAGTACTCAAGGGGGTAAGTCACTGTACTCAAGGGGGATAAGTCACTGTACTCAAGGGGGGTAAGTCACAGTACTCAAAGGGGGTAATTCACAGTACTCAAGGGGGGTAAGTCACTGTACTCAAGGGGTTAAATATCACTGTACTCAAGGGGTTAGAATTATTATCATTTTTTTTTATGACAACAGACTTTTTAGATTCTGAGACGACTCTGACCCCAAAATACAAGAGAAGAGATTTAAATTGTCCTTCAAAACAAATAAAACAAAAAACAAAAACAATGGGAAATATTACAAATTTATTGAGGTTCAGTTGCCTTAGGAAAAAAAATCTTTAATATATAAATAAATAAAGATAAGAATTTTGGTGTTTTAGAAAGTCAATTTTTTTAATATCTCTTATCTCGACCATTTATCGGGTCATCTTACTTTCATTCACTGTAATGAAAGAAAGCGCACAAAGTTTTCCTCTCTAATTTGCATATAAAGGTATAAAAAATCAATACAGAATATGATTAATAAAAAATAATAATAATAATAATTAAATGATCATGAATATTAAATCTATTTGGTTTTATGAATAAATAGCTAAGCAAAAAATGCAAATTAGAACGAATTAGTCCGATTTCTTCTTCTTCTTCTTCTTCTTCTTCTTCCTCTTCTTCCTCCTCCTCTTCCTCTTCCTTCTTCTTCGTCATCTTTTACTTCTTCTAAAAGCTTAGTCTAGTCTGCCAATTTTAATCTTGATCATAGTCTAGTCAGGGGCTTTTTTCTCTCCTGGTCTCCGTAAATCGTAGTTTCGGGCAGTTTTTTCCAACCTAATTAGTGAAAGCCTCCTACTTACCGCCTTACCGTGAGATGACTGCTAGCAAGGCGGCCAATGTTCACAATAACTACCACGAACGGGACAGCAAAACCTCCCCTCTTCTCTTTTGTTTTTATTTCATATTATTTCTATTTCATAAGTGGACGAGGTAAATCTAACCTAAGGTAACGTTAACGACAACTCTTAGTGTAGTATTGGTGAGGCTTAGGTTAGTTTTGGTTGGGTTTATATCGGCTGAAACCATAACCACCAAAAATAAAAATAATAAAGTAGGTATCGTTGTCCTGTTCGTGGTAAAGGTTATTTTGGTAAACATTCACCATCTTGCTGACTGCTACCTATAGATATATCCAATTGTCATGAACGTGCTCTATGCAATAAAATGGTGTAATTAAACTTTGAATAGTAACCAAAAAAAAAAAATTAACCTGCAATAGGATAAATAAATGTATGAAAACCTTGAATAAATGCAGTTTAGAAATGGGTAAATAATTCTCGTTAGATCTTGGAAGTAAAACAAGTAACAGGATTTACTACCATAACCCACTTTAGGGAACTCGATAGGAAAATAATTATGATTTTGTACATTGAAACTATACAATCATGTGTTTCGTTGCCTGCTGTAAAATGGACTATGGAGAACCAAAAAAATAAAAATAAAATATAAAAATAACGTATGTGTATTGAAAGTTAATCAAAGAACTGGATCCTGTTACAGAGGGACTCATAGCCTCCAAGGGGCCTTTTGTTTTTTAAATAGACTCTTTATACATGTGAATCTGATTGTTGTTTTTTATGAAGCGACCTGCTCGGGCTCTTTCACTTCCCGTACGTTGCCAACTTGAAATTTTAATATCCTGTCAAATTTGATATGTGCTATATAAATGTCAATTGAATAATAAGTCTTGGTGATATAAAAAAAAAACACCCTTGTATATATCAACAGTAGAAGCCACTCTCCCGTGTTGTTGTTCACTAGAGGGCGAGTATATAGCCTTCCTTATAAGAAATGTAGTTTGTGTGTGTGTGTGTGGCGCGGTAGATGGTATCAGAGTCGTCACCACCACGTGTTAACATGGCGAGAGATTCCATTAGAGAAAAACACCTTGAGCAGGGAAGGCGCGGTGGTGGGGAGGCAGCGAGGCTCTCACCTGTTCCATATCTCTCTGCCTGATACAGCGAGCGTGTGTGTGAGCTAAGGCTGTTCCAAGTGTATCATATTCTGCTAGGTCTTCTTCGCTTAGAGGGTATACGGTGACACTCCTATATTATGCTCCTCTCGTCATGCTCCCTCAACCATGCTATGCTTAGTACTCCCATTATACTTCTTCTCTAAGGCATGTTCCTTGTCTTCAATCACGTTCCACTCCCCCGCGCCCCTCTCCCACCATACTGCTTCACCATAATACACCATTCTGCAACCTGCCATTTTTTTTTTTCGTTCTATCATGTTCCTCTGCCCTACCATACCAGCTCCCCCTACCAGTAACAGTCTACCATGTTGCTCCTCGGGAACCCTGAGATACCTTCATTACTTCAGGCGGACGAATATAGACATTTAAATTAAAAGCAAAATTCGACCATCTCAGGCCTCCCTTTTCCTACCATATATATGTTGTCTCTCACTGCCATATAATCACTTTAGTTTAATGGCACATGAATTGACATCAAGAAAGAAAAATCAATAAATTGCACTAATTAGACGATGCAGGAGTTATGTTAAATAGTTAGGTAGAGCGTCACTCGTTAGGCTACAGGTAAACTTTATATTACTGCTGACAAGATGAACTTAAGGTATATTAAACGTAGTTCATTAAGACTGTCAAGTTAAACCAAGTAACTTTGGTTTATTACGTGTGTTGTTTTAAGATAACGACGGATGTAAACCAAATTAATTTGGTTTAGTCTTAGCGAAGGTAAACCCCGGCTCGACGTGCCATTACAGACTTAAGTAGTACAGTATAGAGGAAGAGGGTACAGTCCCAGGTCCGGCTCTCAGCTCAGACCCGAACACGTCATCGCCGCGGCCAGTGTGGTTAGAACACAGGCGCAGTTAGTTCACTCGTGCAACACGGGACACTTATCAAACCTAATCACAGCTAATTAGGTTAGGTTAGGTTTAGTTTAAAGTGGTTTGTGTCTGCTGTCATAAATATATTTTAGGCGAGGTGTGTGTGTACCTGGGTCAGTTGAGAGCTGGTCTCGGGTGTGTCGTATTA